CGGCGGGGGGGGGCGCCGCCGGCTACACCCCCGAGGACCTGTGCTTCAGCCTGCAGGAGACCGTGTTTGCCATGCTCGTCGAGATCACCGAGCGCGCAATGGCCCACGTCGGCACCAGCCAGGTCCTGATTGTCGGCGGCGTGGGCTGCAACCAGAGGCTGCAGGACATGATGGGGCTGATGGCGAGGGAGAGGGGAGGCAGCGTGTATGCTACCGATGAGAGGTTTTGCATTGACAACGGCATCATGATTGCCCAGGCCGGATTGTTGGCCTACAAGACGGGATACACTACGCCCTTGGAGGAGAGCATTTGCACGCAGAGGTTCAGGACCGACGAGGTCTATGTCGAGTGGAGGGACTGATGTACCATACATATTCTCAAGACGAATAAAATGCGAGACGTGACAAGGCATTTCAACGTCAAATCAGTGGTAGGTCGGAGACACATGTGTGCAACGGGGGTGCTACCAGGTACGTCTTCATCATATCATTGAGCCGAGTTCGCTTATCCCCGCTGCCAACCTGTGTAGCCCCATCGACTAATAGTTGTAGTCATTAGTGCCTGCGTACATTCCCATCCACAAGCAAATTTTCAAGTGGCCCCTTTCGCCGTATAAACTGGGATACTCTCCCATCATCAGAGACTGAATATAAACAAGAAATCTACTGCGCCAATTTTTTTTTGCAACACAACCATACATCAACAAACAACAACATTAACCTTCATCCGTTGAGGTGGGCTTGTACATTATCGTCGTGACATACTGGGGGCATATTAGCTTTCCATAGACAGCACCGGTGGCCGACATTGAATACATGCCTTGTTGTGATATCGTGTAGTTGCTGATACAGCAAGAACATTGTTCTTGATGCTGCTCGTCGCCAGGTGGTTGAGGACCGTGTGGTTCGGCATGTTCAGCACAGAGTTGTCGTCCTTCATCAGTGTAGCCGCGTTAAGAATGGGCTTGCCCAAGAACCCCGGCAAGCTAGGAGGAGTGGGCAATTTCTCAATAGCACCGATAGCGTTTCTGTAGGCACAAGATTCTTCGGGTTGATCAAAGTCTATCAGATATTGAGGAATCTGGCTGACATATGTTTCTGGCGGCAAAACGGGCTTGCCTTTTGACTTGGCAGGTTCTTTGGGTTCTGATCCAAATTGGGGTTTGGAATCATCTACTTGGACCTCCTCGGTCTTGGATACGATAGAGCCTTGCTGCGGTTCGACAAGCGCATCGTCAGGGTTGACCTCGATGTAGTTGACCAAGTTGTTTCCGAAATCGACGGTTGTTGGCAGGTCCGGTGATGTCTGCATAATTCCATCCGCCAGAAAACGCAAATGATGCGTTCCCGGCAGAATATACACCGTGGTGGCAAAATGGCCGGGCTTTCCTTCACTGTAAATGTCGCATGTTAGCAAAGCTCGCTCTTCCGAGCCCCACGCAATTTGGGATGTGATGAAAGAGGGATACTCACACAGGATGCAGACGCTGCTTCCGGTTCCATTGGAAAATGGTGCCGGTCACATAGATCTTGTCGCCGCCGCGCTTCCATTCAATCTTTGTGGGAACAACTGGTCTAGTCTTGTCAACCCTCAGCTCCTCATACTCGTCGTCGTCAACCGTGGTCGCACTGACGGCGGAGCTCTTTCGCGTCAAACCATCAGATGATTCACCAAGCTCAACATCTGGAAGTCCCTCTTCCGGGGCCAGAATTGGCGAACCGGGTGTGTGGACCTCCTCCTCGATCGGTAGCGGCAACCGAGGCGGACCTCGCAGATACATGTCTGTGAGGCTGTTGTTGGACACGAGGTATGGATCAATGCCGCCCTTTGGTGCGGCGGAAATGTGAGATTCCTTGTGAGGACGTAGTGAGCTTGATTCGGTGGGAACATCGACGGGCTTCGTTGGTTCGTCTCGAACGGGCCGAGCTTCTGTCGGCTTGGAAGGAGTTGATATGTTGCTATGGGGGGAGCCGCTCAGGGAGGAAACAGCGGTGCCGGGCAAGCTCTTTGGTCGGTTGACGGTGGTCGAGCCTGTCGCTTGGGCAAGAGACGGCTCTGGGGGCGCGGCGGAGCTATGTGCTGCGTGCGACGTGGTATGGTTCCGGGCCTCCTTGCGATGAGGCAGCAGGTGATGGTGATGATGGCCGTGGCCTTCGGCAGGCGTCGACGTCGTGCCCGTCGAGCTCGCCGAATCATTTGGCGGGGCACCAGGGGAGCCCGACGAGCCCGACTTGGCGGCGCTGGAATGGTTATTGCCCATGGCCACGTCTTTCTCGTTGTTTCCTTTTGGGACTTGGGGGGGAGGGGGGAGGGGGGCGCCTGATCAGCGGACCACGAAGCGAAATGAGCAGGGAATAAGATGAGGTGCAAAACGTCGCGTGACGACGCAGGTTCCCAGGTATTGGGCAGTTGGAGGAGGGCGGTGCCGTGGTTAGATGCCGGGGCAAGTTTGCGCTGCGATGATGGCAGATGGCCAAACCGCACCCTGCAGGCTGCAGGTGTCAGACTTGTTTTGGGGCCTGTCACTGCCTGCAAAGACAGGGACCGGACGCAAGCGTGCCAATTCGACGTGGGGCGATGGTTTCTTGGGTTGAATGCCGTGATACTCGGGCGGCGAGGCGAGGTAAGAGGAAAGGAAGCAAGTTTAGAAAGTCTGGCCTTGAGGAGCTAGTGCGGTCGCGGGGAAGTGCGGGTGCCATGCGCCAGTTGCAGTCAATCAATAGTCGACATGGATGCACATGCATTTCGCAACAAGGCACCTGCCTTTTGGCGGGGTTACTGGCCCACTTTCCTCCTTGGAGCAGATCGAGACACGGAATATTAGGAAGCTGCATCCGGGTTTCTCATTTGGCTGGCACCTGGCATTGTTTCTTGTCACGCATTCGGGTGTCGGAAAAAAGACACCAGCGGCTTCAAAGAACGTCGAGATGCTTTGCCAATACTTGTGACGGCTGCTCTGCGATGTTGCTGCTTTTGTGTGGGGTCAAGTCACTGGCGGTCAATATTTAAGTTGAATCTCCGGCAAAGATATGCAACTCACCGACTGCATGTACACCAACACATTACAGTCCCCAATAATACCATGCGCGATTCGCCAAGATGCTGTTTCGAATCGAATCGATTCTATTATAGCTCTAGATAATGTATCTTGTAGTTGGTATGATTGCCTGATCAACTAGAGACAAAAGCGTCATCCACATAAAGCCCGACCAACTACCATCAGCTTGCAGTGAGTGGCCAGTTGCCACTGCAAACCCGAGCGGCTGTATGATATGACGATGCATCAAAGCGCATTACACTTGTCTAGGGCAGATGCAGCGAATGGCGTGGATGGCGTGCGTCTTGTCAGACCGTGGCTTGTGAAGAGCGAAAAAAAAAAAAAAATGAAGCCAAATTCCACTGGGAATTTATTTTGACTACAATATAGTCCCAAGGATTTGCCCAGAGGCCCATCAAAGGATCAGTCCACAACTGGACTTATGGCACATCAACTTGTAAATAAAAATGGCATGAAATTGCCGCTCTGCTTATGCTAATACGCGTTTCCCTTGAAGTAAGCCGAGACAAGCAGCTGCGGACAACGGACAAGGACCGCAGCGCCAGTGAATTACAACACACTGACATGAAACATGTAACAAGTTGGTTGTCAAGACTTTAGACCTTTGAATGTTGCAGTCGCTCATGAAAATACAAAAAGCATTTGACCACACCAAGTACCCGGCCACCGTGCTCTATACTGCAACTCTACTCTACTGTGTTAGTGTATACCGCCTGTTGGGCAGATGTATCCCGCCAACAGACTGCAGGTCCAATCACGACCCCACTGCATCTGCCTGAAACCATGTCGATCGATCCGCGCAGACCTTGTCAAAAGTCCGCAGCAGCAGCAGCACCAAACTCCGTCGGGCTGATGTACGAGTCGAGCTCACCAGCGCATCGCACCTAGGTAGATGAACCACACTGACGGATTCGCCTCGCCGTCATTGGCGGCAGACTGTCTCGGATGAGCGATGGCGTGCAAGCCTCGCCCAGTCGCGCCATGCACCGCAGCATTACCCGAGTAGGAAATCCAGCCAAAACACGCCTCGCAACGCGACGACGACACTCCCCCCTTTAGTAATGCAAGCCAGCAGGCCAATTGCGCAATGGATACATGACGACGGAATGCCGTCCCCAAACGACAGCCCTCCCGTGGAAAAGAATGGCGGCATCCATCGAGCGCCCCGTGTGAAGACGTCGGCGGCCGTATATACAATGTGAGACCTTGGCCCGGGACCTCCCTCCCTCCACAGAGGCGAGAAGAGAAGAAACACGAGCCTGCAGTTTCTTTGCTGCCCTTTTGCAAAGAGGAAAAGTCCAGAACAAAACAGTCGTCCCGTCCAGAATGGCAGACGACGACGAGCGGCGGCCGCTCCTGGCCGACACGGCGAGCATACACGCCTCCTCGTCGACAGACGACGACGCCGTCACGGCCAAGGACCGGCCGTCGCGCTCCGTCGACGACGACGTGCTCCCCGAGACGTCCTCCCTGGGCCGCAACCTCTCGTGGACGAGCTCGTACATGCTCGTGATATCGCGCGTCATCGGCAGCGGCATCTTCGCCACGCCCGGCACCATCCTCCAGGCCGTGGGCAGCCCGGGCCTCTCGCTGCTCCTCTGGGCCGTCGGCGCGCTCGTGGCCGCGGCCGGGCTCGCCGTCGCCCTCGAGTACGGCTGCATGCTGCCGCGGTCCGGCGGCCAAAAGGTCTACCTCGAGTTCACGTACCGCCGCCCGCGGTTCCTGGCGTCGACCCTCGTCGCCGTCAACGCCGTGCTGCTGGGCTTCACCGCCAGCAACTGCGTCATCTTCACC